ATTTGGATGACGGGCATTTACTAGATGTACTAGATGCACTGCATTTAGTAAATGTATGAGCTAAATGACATGCACGGCAAAGCTTGAGCTAAATGTACTAGGTAACATAAACTTGTGTACTAGCTTGAGGATGACATGTATGAGATAAGGATTGAATTTGCACGGCATTTCATGATGTATACTTGTGGGTTATTAACATCTTTTTCCTTTCTTTTATACTTGTGGGTTATAGAATACGTCTTTCATCCTATGCAAAAAGTAAAACCCCCCACTTTTTTAAATCATGTTATTCCTATACCAAAATAGTTTTTTCCGGGTAATGCTAACTCCACTTTACTATTTTCATTGAACACCTGAGCAGATTCTTCCACATTTATATGAGGCATTAATGGAGGTGCAATAGATGCTGAAACTTGCATATAAATTCCTGGATACCAAATTGAAGAGCCTCTTGTTGCTCGAAGAGCAGGTTGTCGTTTGCTGTGAAAACCAACAATCAAGCTGTCTGTTATGAGGAATTTCACCTCTTGCTCCTTCATTGAACTTGTCCCTTCAATAACAAGTTCAACCAACTCTATGGAATGGCTAGAGATTATACGTTCTATGTGGTTGTCTCCAACAATTGGTTCTTGATTCACAACGATCATTTAAGGAGTTATTGGGTTTCTGCTGGCAGGTGGGAGATTCAAGTTCAATCCACAAAGATTCTCAAGAATTGGGTTCCTCACTTGTTCCTATGTAGGTGCAACAACCCGTATCATAAGAATAGATGGATTGAAGAGAAAGGCATGTAAAATATGTAAATTGTAAGGAAGATGATGTAAATATTAAATTATTTCATATTGATAATATTTTAAATGTATGAATTTATATATTGTTCAATATATTGTATTTTTTGAATTTATATTTATATAATAATAAACACAAGATTACAGATGTCTAATAAAAAATTATACTACCATTCAAACTAATAGTTTGAAAAGTGTATGTACAACTACACAAACCCGTAGTGTTAATAACATTTAGACAATCAAAACAAACAGTTGTTTGAAATACTACAAAAATAGTAGTTCATATTTTTAAAATACAACGTGAAATAATAGTTGTCTGAAGCAAATTTCTTTAGTAATCTTTAGAGTAGCTGTCTGATAAACAAGTTAACTACTGTCATAAAAGATAGTTTGAATACTTCAAGGAAAACTACAAATAAGCGTTGTGTTAATAATCAATATGCAACTAAAACAAACAGTAGTTTGAATAAGAATAATGTTAGTAGTCTATAATCTAGAAATACAACAAAAGATAACAGTTGTCTAATGCTATTTTTGTTTAGAAGTCTTCCGAGCAGCAGTTTGATATATCTTTCAATTACTTTTTAAAGTAGATGTCTATATTGTTGAACGACAACACTAAGAATTAGGAGTCTGAAGTTAAAAACAACAGTAGTATTCATTATAGATAGACAACAAAAAATCACAGTTCTCTTTAACTCTAAAAAACAGATGTCTTACTCATACAAGGACAACACTAAAAGGTGGTACTCTAAAACATTACAAAACAGGTGTCGTCAACCATTTTACACAATTGTTTTTAAACAATAGTCTGTAAATATATCAGACAGCTGGTCGGAAGACTACTGAAATCAGCACTGAGAGACTACTAAAAGAAACAGTTGTCAGCATCTGTTTTTGACGTAGTGCTTGCAGAATTTGATAAGTGAATTCATTGAATCTGATGTTAATCAAATGACAACGCTCGGTGATAATATGTTGACTTTTACACCAGTGAAGAGAATGCAACACAAGGAGTCTAAGGATGAAGCTGGTGATGAATCAATAAAGAAGTTGAAGACTGTTAAAATAGAAAAAAATTAATATTAGGCTGCCGTTGGGTCCTTAGTTTCCTTTGTTTTTATTCTATTCGAGTCTTAGACAAATTATTCGATGGTGATATCTCAGCTTAAAGCATGTCTTGAGGTAATTTTTTCATTCACTAACTTTGAGGGCATTAAATAATGCTGTATATAAAGGACATAGAAATCAACAATTATTATGTGGTTGTATATAGATGATGT